CAATCCAGTTACCATGAATTTCAATCTAGTTACCATGAATGTGACATTCTAATAGTCTAATATCTTTTCTTTCCTTGACATTTGATCCCTTTTTTAAGAATTAAAAAACAATTGTGAAACCTTTTGTTTTCAAAGGAAGGCCTGATGGCGAGGCCTGATGTCGATCACCGGTGAGTTCCAGAAGAGACCGGTCCCCCACAGTGATGTCCACGCAAACCCGGAGGGTGCAGATTTGGCTGTTGGCCCTCACAAGTCGCCAAATGGCATAGAACATGAAAAGCATCTGGGCACTCCTCCCAGACTCAAACATGACATAGCTCAGGCAGGAAAAACTTAGGGAGCGCGCCTAAGTCATGAAGCTTAAAGCAGCCATATTTTCCCTTTGGGCACGATATTGAAAAGAACACATTTTAATGTAATTGTTTGAAGTCATGTACTGGCAGAACGACCACAGCTCCTATGTCATCCTGCTGTGTACTACACTTGGCAACCTTGTCTACTGACTGATAACTTAAACACTGTGGCCCGAAACCGAAACCTATCTCATTAGCCCAGCAAATTCCTGTGTCAGCAGCCCTCAGTATAATTGCATAAAATATATGCCCACCCCATCGATGCGCGGTGTTTCTGTTTTTTGTCCTTGTACTCTTTGCGTGGCATCGTGGAGACCAGCTGAAACGTCTCCTTCGAACACAAAAGGAGAGACTTCCGCCCAAAACCCGTTGGAGCACTTGATAGAGACACATGAGCAAACAAACGATTGAAACAGTGTGATGACCTGTGGACCATATATGACAGTATATATAATACATGTTCATACACACACAGACATGCAGGTATTGTCATACATACCGAGATCGATAGATCAAATATGATCAAACACAGTATACATTGCATATAGAAGGGGGGAGAAAACAACCAAATGCTTGAGACACATCTGTCGAGTTCATTGTCTATACCAGCGGCATTTCATCAAAATGGTGAGGCTCGGCCCTTCTCTTCCCCCAACGCTGACCTCACTGACATCGACCCTTCAAAGAGAAACCATGTCGACCCTTCAAACATCACGAGATGTTTCCTTCGTAGTTCAGAGGCCGAAGCGCGACCCGGTTCTGCGGAACCGACTGTGACCAGTGAAAAGGGGCGCCCTAGCGGCCGGCGAAGCCAGCAGGATCGAAGGTCCACATGTTCCAAAGATTCCACTGATCCGAATGTGATAGTTCCTGGGATTTTCCAGTTGATCTGCAACAACCCCGTCAGCACCAGGCTCCCACCTCGGATGACAAGGGCAAAAGGCCCTCGACTTCAAGGTAGTCATAGACCTTTCCGTCGTTGCGGTGTTCCACACAACACGGGTGACTAGGCCTTGTGCAGTCTGGTCAGGTCTAAAATCTGTATCTTGGCCCAAAGATTCCAATGATCCATATGTTCAATTGCATTCAGATGTATTTTATATAGATCCAAAAGGAACAGCAACTTTCAGCATGCACGTTCTGTTCGGTTCTGTTCCTCCTTGCTTTGTGAACAGATTCAAACATGTAGAGGAAAAAGAAACAAACAAAGCTGGGCAATGTCATCTCAAGTAAAGGGCTTGGAGCACATGCCCGTTCCAGGAACCATGAGAACTCTGCAGATCGCTGCCTGTCCCACCGTGTTTGACGACAGGAAGCGTCGCCTGTCGACCGAGGCAACCCGTTGGACCGAGCCATAATATGATGGTGGGAAGGTGGGTTAGGCAAATTTCGAGTTGGCACAAAAACAACTACCCCCGAAATCAATTGGGTCAAACTCAGACTGCTTCAGGTATACCCACGCAACAAAACACACACACACACATGCACACTTGATATGGAAGAAGCGAAGAGCTTTCTGGAGGCAGGGTAGCCAAGGACCTCTTGCTCTTGAGAATGCGGCCTGGTTGGGCAAAGGTACTCACGACACCATCGATGAATGACATATAAAAAGCGTTCCAAAACATCTCGCTGGGTTCCTCACCAGCCCACGATTTGGGTTGATTTTGTGCGTTTGCACAGAGCGAGAAGCAAATTATATCTATGAAAACGGGGCGCCGAAACAATCGATGACAATGTTTTCCACATAACAACCACGACCCAACCTGCCCCTGAAAGAGGGGCAACTACCGCGTACGCCCTGTGCACAGGCAAGCAGTGTCTTTCTAGGACAGTATGGGTATATCCCCGGAGCCTTGAGGAATACGACAACAATCACCCTGTGTGGTAGGAGTGCGCCACTACATCCAGAAGCCACACAAAATCACCCCCACCCCCCACCCCCATTTTATCCTACGACTAACCGATGACAACATCATACAACATCCATACATCGGTGACAATATTGTGAAATCGATGACATTGTGAAACTGAATGTTGTATAATATCTGATGAACTCGATGACCATGTTCTCCACCGAGATGCCAGAAAAAGATAGAAAATTGATGAAAATTGCATCAAAGCACAAATCGCCCAATACGCGGACCAGTAACACAGCCGACAGCATGTATGATGTGTCCGCATGCTGGGTCCTCAGCTTGCCAGTCGCCATAACAGCATAATATAGCACAATCAACTGCAGGTACGTCTAGAAGGCGTCCCTTCCAAATATCACGGCCCACACCCCAGAAACACATCCAAACACCTCTACATCCGTCCAGGTGCCTTCCTTTGTCTCTTCGAAACTAGTTCTCCCCCACCCCCGGTGCAGTCGGCAGAACCACCTGGCGCGGGTGCCATCGAGCCCACGGATCTGGAGGTCCACCCTCTCAGGCCTCGGTACAGGGCGATTCGCGCGGAGTCGGAGGTACGGGGAGACAGGGGTGCATATCCTAGTAGCGTTCTTGTTCCTAGTAGCGATGCTCTTTGCTCCTGGTAG